ATTCCTTCCCTGGACCTATCGTTGTCTATCACGTGCTGTTCGTAGGGCTGTTAACGCCTTACCGCAGTCAGTGAATTAGATAAATGAAGTGATTTACTGCTGTTTGAAGTCTGAAGCGTGCAATTTGGCTTCGAGAAATTGCTGGATGCCTAACAAATAGTGGAATTTTTTAATGTTCTTGTTCAGTTGCAGATCCCTTATTTGGACCAAGCGAGGTGTCACCCATTGTAGCAATGGATGTAATTGGTAAGACTTTTTTAATAGAATATTACTAGAATATAGTTTTAATAGAATATATTTTTATAGTTTTAGTAGAATATATAGTTTGATGGGAGGCTATGTTACCAGCATTTTTTAATTTTCAGATCCTTATACACAGGCAATTTTTCAACCGTAAAATGGTAAGTCTCTTGTATGTTAGTAAATTGCAAAAAGAAGCATGCTATGCATAATGTATTGGTAATAATTTGTTGTTGATTAATATAGGTTCTAGTGCTGTTGAACATGTTGCTACAGCTAGTGCAGCAGATGCTTATTCTATCCTTGTGAAAGGTAAATATTTGCTATCATCTTTAAGAATCTCAATTATTACTTTGTTGCATTTTTTTAAGATGGGATAGATTTCAAGTTTGTCTCTATTTTCAGATCTTTTTCACCCATGTGAGGTGTCACCAAGTTTTTATGGACATTTCTCATGGTATGTTCCTTTCAATATACAGTTATTTGTGCCAATTGAGGCTAAATTATAGTAAATTAAAAGCTCTTTTTTTGGTGATTACAGATCCTTGTACTTCTGGACAGGTGCTAGAAGTCATTCTGGGAGATGAATCTGCGCCTTCAGTGTCTGGTAAGTGCAAGATATTCCTGTGCTTTCTAATTTTGTAATTCTAGATGGTGAATTAAAGTATACCTCTTTATTTTTGATACAGATTTGTTTTCAGAACATTCATTTGAGGACATAGTATCTTTATTAACAGCATTTTTTGCTTTTCAGATCCTTTTCCAGAGATGGCTTCTGAAGCATGTCTATTAGACCCTACAAGTTTGACCCTAAGTGGCTTTAAATTAATGTTCACTTTAAAGAGTCAGAACTCAGAGAGATAATTTTAAAGAATTTTTTTTATGTGCAGTGAATGACTTTGTGCACAATGAACCAAGGTTCTGAACATATCTCGTTTACGCTGACAGTTTGTAATGGTACGAACGAGAGTTTTAAAATCAGTGTGAATTCTGTCATTGGATACAGATCCATTATATAAACTGTATTTCCCACATCTGATTTGGATAATTCTAATTAAATAAAATTTAAAGATAATATTAATTCTGTAAAGCATGGTCATTTTCTCAATTTTGGAATGCCT